AAAAAGAAGTAAACAAAAAAACAACCCTTTTATGGGAAGAGGGAGAGAAAAAAAGACCGCTGTGGAAATAATGAGTTAAAGTAAAGTGAAATAAGATGTCTAATTCGAATAAAATATTTTCTCTATGTGACGCGTGGGTGATACCAATGTCATATTTTTCTAACAACTGAAAAAGGGTGAGTCGGGTCAGAAGAAAAAAAAAGCATCCTCTCTATCCGCATGGTTTATATGCAGTCCAAAAAGCTTTTTTAACCAGTTCCCAGATTTGCATTGCCCCCACTCCTCCCACCCCTTGCTTATACATCTATTTAAATACTCCTACTCTAATCTTGTATCCGCACCTTCTCCATCCAGATACGGCAACCGAACTCCCGGTAGAGCTCTTTCAGCAGTTGCACAAAATCAATTCGCGATTTAGCGGAATAATAGAAAGTGAGCTTCTTCTTATCAAATTGATACTCGGCGTGACGTATCTCCATATCAAACCCGTGACGATAAACGCGTTGTTGACAAAAAGACACTGCAACAGCCTCGTCTTCCTTGAGGTCAGTAGCCCAGTAATCCACCTCTCGCTGTGTTGCATGGCGGAGAATACTTCCCGTTGGTCCAGAGCGTTCCACATACGTCTTGCAACTCTCAGTATTTACACGGATAACAACCCCAATATCGATCCCCCTGTCACCTTGCACCACAACATATTGACCCTTGGCGGCAAGAAAAGGAGACGAAAACTCCTTTTGATGACACTTAAATTGTACAAGCGCATTACAAACAGGAGGCATAGTTGGGGTCGGTGGAGCCTCATCCCTTTCTGCAAAAAGTTCTTGTGTGGCAGGAATCCTTATAGTATTCACTCCCTCAGAAAGAAGTGCCGCAAATAAAGCTGCTGTGGTATCTTCGAGACATTTCCAACCATAGGGATCATGGCGTTTGATCGCAACTGTTCCTGAAGTAGTAGTGGAATTGGCCTTCACGTATTTACCAGCAAACGTGGTTTGAACATTGGTGATATCCGAAAGAGGAGAGAACATTCTAACGCAAAAACCTTTCCCTTTACGAATGAGCACGCAAGAAGAAAAAAACATAATAATAAATAAATAGAAGCATAGCGACAAAAACAAAATAAGGCAACCGAGAAAGTAAATCCAGCTAAAATAATAGTAATTGGTAAAGAAATAAAAAAAATACTATACCTTGGATGAAAATAAAAAAAATCACTAACCATGGAATTCTTGCTTCAAAAACTCCGTATTTATGCAAATGTTACAGACTAAATTGGTTAGCTCATACAACAACATTTATATTAAGCAAAACAAAAAAAAACGTACAGCAAAATAAAATAGGGCCCATAGAAATATCCATAAAAAAAGAAGTCTCAGCGTTCACTGGATAAGCTTCGACACGAGCCGACAACAG